AAAAAAAATGCTGGTGGTATAATAGCATGCTTTCTTATCGACAGGGCAGGTGGTATGATAGCATACCTTCTTACCGACCGAGCCCTCGGCACTGGCTGCATTTTTTTTTATTATGAGAATTGCAGCTGGCCACCGCGGCAGCAGTGGCTGTGTTGCCCGCCAATAGCATTGAGTTACATACCCCTGGAACAAGTTGCCTTGCAACAAGGCGGTAAACAGTAGACAGCAGCTCATATATAAGGAGCGCACTCTGAAGCCACGTGGAAGTTGTGTTTGAGCGGCCTAGCGAGAGGTTGTAATACGTGTGCTACTAGCGAACACAGGCAGTTTGTCGTCCGTGAAGTTTTTACGTTGATAACTGCCGCTTAGGAAGGAATAGTTGCGATAGATTTAGCAGAAGACTATACGTGCTGTAGTTGTGGCCATCTGTAGAGTGAGACGTATTATAAATTACGTTCAGTAAATTCAGTAACTGCTAGTGATCCGTGTGTTACGGTTCGTAGTTGTGAACTTAATACGTCGTTCAGTGGATACAATAATAAACATGAGTACAAAAGCATTGATAATTTGTTTGTTCATATTATTAGTAGGAAGTGGTAATGCATCAATTATTGATTGGATCTGGGGAGGACATGATGAAAATGCCGCTCCTAAGCCAACAATCGGTGGTTTACCTATTGTTAAGATTCCCTTTGAAATAATTACTGACGATGAGAAATTCCTCCGAGAGGCCAAGAATTACACGAGTTTGAAGTTGGAACATTTGGATGACTGCCAACATCATGTAAGCAATGAGTTCATTAAATTCATTAATGTGATAAGCAATTTTGTGAAAATTTTTATTAGATTGAAACAATTCAACAAACCGATTCTATATCTATGTGCATAGATCTCTGGAAGACACATTAAATATGAATATGACTATATGGATTCTTTGCAGGTTGTCATGAGGATTCATAGTGCATGCTCAGATCTGACAGAGGAGGAATTGTCCAAAATGAGCGTGGATCTACTGAACTGTCAGGCTGTGACAAAGGGTTGGCGACGTTTTCTTTGTACTAGCAGAATGGTAAGTTGTTTTCAGATTTAGGTGACATGATAATGACTTCATTGTGTGCAGGTTGAGTAACATCCAGCAGACTAACTGCATTAGTGGTTTGATAATTTACTGAAATATTCATACCACATATATTTTTGTTTTGTATATTGATGTTAGGTTAGACTAGTCACTCTACACACCCACTTCACTATTTAATGCATCTCTATTCACATTCTCTCTGTGATTTAAAATAACATTAAAATCACACTCACCTGTCACATCTTTCTGTGTTACATGGCCATCCTCAGGCAACTGTTAATATTTCATAAGCACCACACAGCACTGGTTCTAAAATCAAAATATTTCAGTGCTATTACATTTTATCATTCACACCAAAGTACATTTTTTAAGAACTCAGCTTTTTACCCTTTCCTGCCCTATTTTCCTCTTGTGGCATCTGTGTTTTTTTGTGTTGTTTTATTTAGCTCTGTGGACATCAGTGTAGTGTTGTAATCATCATTATTTTTGTGTGCCCCATTAGTATGTGTGTTGCCATGCTGATGTCCATTAGGGCTGAATAAAACAACACAAACGAACATGGATGCTGGAAGAGGAAAATAATATATAAGTACGCATAGTGTGTCGACAAAAAAGACAGAATGACTATGTGAGAAATGCAATTTCAGAGCCTTCAAGAGTGCACAAGTTCGATGGACCCAGACATGTGGAATGCATACCATCTGATGAACAACCGAGCCAGGGCCATTTGTTATGCTGCCAGAAGCCAGCAGTCTCGAGCTCTCTCAGAGATGACAGTTGACAAACTCATGGACTCTGCACACAGCCAGCTCAACACGATGGACTCTCTCAAGGTAAGCAACAAAAGGAGATGGAAGTGTCGTGTTATGCTTATTGATTCCAAGCCATGGAACTCAGAGTGTGGTCAGGAGAAGAAGACAAGTTTTTTTGTGTGTTACTGAACTGGAAGGTCCATTCTCCTCCTCCATGGTTCTATAACAGTAAATTTCTACAGGGTGGGGTTGTTAGGCCCACACCCAACCCATAACCTGGAGGACCAGGGACTCCACTTTGTCTGGTTCCTACCATTTTACCTGTCTGAGATGGGTTGCCCTACCAGGAGCTTACACTCACGCCAGCATAGCTCAACAGGTCACTGGGGCGTGAGAACCTCTCCATGATGAGGTGGTAGTCCTCAAGGAGGAAAGGTTCATGGTTGTCACCTCAAAAGCCCATCACACCCAGTTCACAGCTGTACAGTCTGTTTCTATAAGCTCCTTCATTTTGTTCTCACATATGCCCTAGAAATGAATCAAGAAACTTCACATCTAGGGTTGGTTGCATTTCTCAGAGTACAAGGGACAGTCTGTCACATTATCATGTGCTCCATCTGCAGGCCTAATTAAATTAGGAGCCTAAAAACTAAAATTTTAAGTCACTTTGTGTTTATTTTATGGAATACAAAAGCAGAAATATTGTATTTCATGTGCATATATTAAGTCACTGTTGGTGAACAACGTCTCTAGAGATATTTTGAAATTCACTCTCTTATTATGCCAGCATTTCACCTTGTGATCAACTCTTGGCAACTTTATGCTTATCTATGTTGCAGGAAGACCATCAGAAGTTGGAATCACTGACAGCTAGTACATTGGAAGCTGTGTCTTATGGCCACCAGTCCCTTATGGATCAGCAGGACAAGTTAAGAGTTACCCAACACAGCATTCAGGATTCCGTATCCCTGAATCTGCGACAGGTGACACGAGAGAAAGTGCTGATAGCGTCAGGTCACCATGAACTTGCCAAGATGATGGATGATATCAGAAACAAATTAGGTGAGTATGATTTGGCGATTTGGATTGTTGCACTAGAAATTCCTCCACCTTAATTGAGGTGAATGATCTGGAGCAATGTTTAACACACTTACTTCATGTGTCGGATGCCTGTGTTCTACATATTATATCTCGGATAAACCTGAGGAAAACCATGATAGATTTGTCGGTGGTTTTCTGTCCGATATTCAACCAGATATATTGCAGATATTTGTGTGTATCATGTGACATTGTCAGTGGTACTATCCCATCATATGCCTGGAGGGACTGAGAAAACACATGAGAAACCTTAGTTACAGTGATTGTCATGCCAAAGATTAGAAAGGGGTACCAGTCGAAACAGTTACTGTTTGGGCCAACTTTACAAAATCGAGATCAGGTTTTTATCAGCTAGTTGCTGTTTAGCTGTTGTAGTTCAGTGGGTCAGTGGTTGAGGGTTGCTTGGAAAAAGCCATTTGCATGTTATTGACCAGGAATGGACTTTCAGCACTGATAGTGGTGTCCATTTCTGCACTCCCTCATGGCCCAGAACCAGAATACCACATTCTGGTTCAGGTCTTGTCAGTGGATGGCCTGTGCCCGCTGCACACTGGCATGTTCAGTATCATTTTGATTTGATATAACTGTTGTGTATCCGATAATAAACAGATATTTCAATTTTAATCACTCATCTGTATTCCCGACTGCATGTGACTTAATGGCATACACTTCTGCGTGCGGTATCATGGTGTGTGGTCCAAAGCTGAAACTGAGCTTACTATATCCATACACTCCAGCAGCAGTACCCTTCATTTGCTTTGGACCCATGTATTTACTAGACAAGCCCACCATTTTTGTTGGGTACAACCCTGTTTTCCATTCACTTCTGTTAGGAAGTCTGACCTTGAATGATTTGTTATATACATATGTTTGTATTGTTTTGTGAGCCTCCCATCTGTCAGATGTGTAACAAGATGTTTGGGTTTCCATTATTCATTGCAGCTGAGTCTGTAAAGTGCCTCCTTGCAGTAAGGGAGTCACATAAGGACTGCAGCCACAGCTAGAGCAGTCATTCTTATGACTCCAGTTGAACTGAGACATGCCAGTCTCTACAACTGACAAAGTTTGACCCTGCTGATTTTGTATTTGACACCCTGGGCCAAGACACTATGGCATCATAGGTATTTATTGACTCTTGCTACTGTCCTCTATAATAATGGTCTTGTTTGTTTGTGACAGATGAGGCGAGTTTGGAACTCAGCAGCCAGGTGAACGAGCGCCGTGAAAATCACAAGCAACAGCTAGAAGATCTGCGCTCTGTTGTGGACCAGGTGGCTGTCTTCTGGCAGAGGATTGGTAAGGATGCTTCATATTGTTCGCAGGACCTTACTGCTAGTCCCTGTTCTGTGCTGGATGAATCTAATTAACTTCAGTAACAACCAGACCTCTCCATCTGTCTCTCTTCCCAAAGCTTCTTTGCCTTCTCAGTTTCCTCCCATATTCTTCCATCCTTTGTGTCATTTCTTTCCTGATCTCTTGTTCTTGTTCAAAACCTTTGGGATTCTGGATTCAGTCACTTTTAAATTGTGCCTTTACCATGTGACTGTGTTAACTATTAGTCTATTTTACAATTTACTTTTCTTTAAATTCTGTATCATTCTGCCATTTATTATTCTTTCTCTTCTGGTTTCTCCTTCTGTACTTGGCAAAGAATTACATCTCAGCTGCAGTTAGTCTGTCAATATCTGCCTTGGCTTGTGTCCATACTTCTGCACCATGCACTGACATGGGCACAGTAACTTTTAAATAAACACAATTTTGCCATCTCTTTCATGGTCTGATTCCAAAGTAGATCCTAGCGAACTGCTAAGCTCCCATTGCTGTTGCAATGCACTGGAACCCCCCCCTCAAATAGCCATCATTTTTTGGTTTCTCTCTCTTTAATATTCAGTTTCAGTGATCACGCATCAGTGGACTTGGTGTTAAATGACCTTCATTTAACGCTTCCCTCACTTTAGTTCGAGTCCATTGTCCCCCCAAAGAAAACGTAGATAGAGGTTTCACTGTGTTGAGTACTGAAGGACTTGGTTCTTTTGCCATACATATCAAAGTGTTATCACTATTAATACATTATGACACTTAGCTTATGTCTGGGCCCTCTGGTTGCCTGAGAACCTTGGCCATCTTTACAAAATATGCCCATGCTTCTCTGTTTTTAGCGTTTTGCCTTCATCCCTTACTTTGAGCTTCACAAATTATTCACTGCATCTGAGGACTAACATGTGTTTCATATTCTTGCTGATAGATGGCAGAACACAGGAGATCCTTGCACACCATGAGTCAGCAACAGCACAGTATGATTCAGCGATCTACAAGCTGTCACAGATCAGCACCACAGTCAACTTCCTCCTGGATCTGCTGGACAAGACCAGACATGTAAGTGTTTGTGGGCACATGCAGTTTGTCGTTGTTGATCAGAACCTCAGGGAATTGCAAAATTTAAGTTCAGTACATTCCCTTGAAGTACTGAGCAATGTTTGAGGAAACTGACTGTTTGGAATTACAGTATATACACACCTGCAAGGGTGCCAGCAGGGGAGAAGGGAAGGGCAAAAGGAATTGAAAGAAAGGAGGAAGTAGACTTGTCTTCCCCATTTAAATATTAAAAATAACACCAAAAATCGTGATTTCTTCAATATGGCCAACTTGCTTCATTGGATAAAGAATGTGATTTAGTAAGAGGTTGACGAAGATGTGAAACAACTTGCACAGCAGCACACAAAAGTGTTTTGATGTCAGCTTTCAGGTCTCAAGGTGCTCTGTCCATGGCAGAAAACTGATACATGCATCCCAGCCATCTGACAGTTAACCGTTTCTCTTGAAACATCCTCCCACACTTTGCAGTTTTATCGTGATGTACATACTGCCACTTGTGTTATTGTGTATCGGGTCCTTTCCCTCATTTTGTCACTGTTTGTTTATGTTTTATGTGTGCATTTGTGCAGTTAGTGATTAATTTCTGAACTGTTCTTAGGACATTGAGCACCTGGGCAGGCTCATCAACTTGACGCCAGATACTGGCAACCAGCTGGATCACCTTTACAGCTGTGTACTTCACTTTCTGTACCTGATTGTGGGAATGATTACTGCAGCATTTTTCAGAGCTCCGACCACCTCACGCGCTTTCCTCCTCCTCTTTGTGCCTCTGAACCTTGCTGTCACATACACTCATGGGGACGCAGCTGCCCTTAACTTCCCGTCCATGACCATACTCATCTTAGCGTCAACAGCAGGTAAGTGTTACTGAGATCACCTCACTGTTTGGTTATGTTGGGTTATATTTACAAGAGAAACAAGCACAGTGTTGCCTGCTTGTGGAGTTGGCAGTCAAGAAACAAACACAGACTCACCACTTCCATACTGAACCTTAAGTCCAGACACCAACACAGATTCATTTTCTGTTGTCAGTATGTGTATGATTAGTTTGGTGAGGTATGAACCCAAGACTTTCTAAACCGCCTGAATGAAACATTATGTCAATCTTTATTGTGCCCTAGAACAGTAAATTAGCCACTGTTTGTAATGGCGTGTGCTTTTTTTGCAGTCTGCTACGTGATCCAGAGAGCACTACATTATTGGACATCCAGACAGCCGAGACCCCTATCCAGTCTTCATGGCAGCCAACCACAGCCAATGACCAGTCAGTTCATTACTAACCCGTTACCATGTACGAAGCCTGTTGCTCTTATGCTGTCTCACAGGAGCAGCATGAACACGCTGTCGCTCTTCCCTGGAGACCCTGGCAGATGCCCTAGTTCCATGGAGTCCATGTCAGTTGCTGCCTCATCCAGAGGGGACTCTCCACGGCCTGATGAGAGGGTCCGCATTCTGACTCCCGTGCGTGACAGAAACCTAGGTGAAGGCTCAAGTGGCAGTGGTGAGGTTGCCCTTGGGCTGGCCCATTTTGCAGAGGTGAGTGGAGACTTCAGTTTATGTCTTGTTCCAGTTACATGAGAGACAGAATGTCATTGGTCTCCCAGCAGAGAATTGTTTTGCTATCATACATCCGGAGGAACCCCCATTTAATGATCTTTGCTTTAACATTTTCCCCTAGTTAGCACTGAATTTTGATGATCACAAGTCAATAATCTCAGGGCTAGATTTCCCCTGTTTTATATTTTCTTCATTTTATTCCTCAGAGTCACTTGTGGCTCCATAGCGTTGCATCATGTTACATGGGATCAACAGAAATATAGAAATATCCAGTCACTTGCACGGGATATTCTCTCGCCAGGCTCCCGTAGCTCATACATTTTACGTGAAATGTTTTCATTCATTCAGAGAGTTGTACTAAATATATGTTATATTTATTTTGTTAGCGCTCTGCAAACTCCAACAGTTGCAGCAGTAACAACTGCCTTGTTCAAGCTGGCACATCACGAACACTGAGGCAGCGCTATTCCTCACCGGTCTACTTCCCACCCGCACGCAAACCCACCTCTTCTTTTAGGTGAGTTACTGTCTTGTCACCTTGTTCATTAGTTAAGTATTTTTCAGTTTTTATTTTAACTTAAATGCTTTAAATAATTTTATGTACTTTTGGTAACATTTTTTGTTTTGAAGGATTGTGTGTTAGGGAATTCTGAACAGTAAAAATACTCTTTCTTGCTGACAGGATTGTTTGCCTTTAGAAGGGCCATTTTGTAAAATCAACAGAAGGTTAATACTGGGGCCATCACTGCTGTGCCCATTGTTTGGTACAGTTATTCTGATCCAAGTGCATGTGACTGTTCCTAATCCATAGCGACTGCATTCCTGAAATTTGCTGTGCATGTGGAAGGTGCACTGAGTGAACACTGGCATGGTGCAGCAGTACGAAATGCTCTGATGGATTTATTGAATCAGAACAGTGGGGCAAGGGAGGAGAACTGCTAATGCAACACTTTGGGCATGCGTAACAGCAGATGTGGGAAAACACAACAGCAAAAGCATTATAATGAATGTCAGCCATACTAAACTAAAAAAACTGAACTTTTAAATCTGGTTAGTGGCCGTCTGAACTCTCTTGTTTGTCTGGGTCAATGTAAACTTTTTATTTTGGTTCCTCATTTCAGTTTCTGTTGGTGTTGCATTTCTGTTATATGTGTGACCTCTTGCATTTTTCAGTTCCACCTGATCGCTTTCAAATCAGATCACAAGATTGGTTCTTTTGCTCGGAGATCTCCCATTTACGTGGGTTCCACATTTTCATACTGCATAGCCATGAGCGTTTTCTCTGCCTTTACTGTACATATTTAAGTCGCCATATTTTTGGTATCCTTCCACCCTTAACAATCTGCTTTGCTTTGTTGTCCACAGTGGAACACCACGCCGCAGTCCACCAAGACCTGTATGCCGTGCTGTCTGTCGGAATGGCCAACAGTGTCACACCAGTGCATCTGTGGGCAGTGATCTGTGTTGGAGACACACCTCCTGATCATCCTTTTGCCAGTACTGAAAGTTATTAAAGGTGCCTTCATACTGCAGATGGTCGTACTGTTTAACACTGGTACCCGTGTGGCCCACCCAGCCACTGTGGCAGGTACCTGTCTCAACATCTGAAATGCGGCAGTAGAACTGACACACATACTGGTCATTTTGTGTCATCCTTTTCTGAGTAAAGAAACACGTGTTGGTAGCTAGGAAATCTGCTATCTGCTCTGAAGGGTCCATTATATGCAGCTAATGTTCGTCCTGGTTTGAAGGATGATGGAAAATGTCCCGTTATTTTAATTTCCAAAGAAAATGTTAAAACTTCTTATCATATTTATTTATGTTTGTTTCTATCTTTTAAGTGGTCTAGTTACCACATTTGTTTTTACTGTGTTGTATTTTTATTTTCAACTGTATAGTTTTGTAGTGTTTTTCTGATCATTTGTACTAGTAATCAGTTTAGTCATTTTAAGATGTAGGGAGCACCAGTATTACAGTGTAGTATGATACTGGTCTCGATTGTAGTTTGAGTTTGCGTACACTGTGCATTGGCTCTGTTGGAATGCTTGTATATTGCTAAATAAATCTGTAAACTAGAGACTGGCTTCTCTTTATTATTTTATTTCTGATTTACTTAATGATTCTATCAGTAGCCTTGATTGTGTAGCATTGAAAGGTAGGACGGGCGAACAGTTAACTGAAAAGGATGCGGAAGGGTGCAGTTGTGCTCTTACTTTGAGGCACTGCCATGGGAAGTATCAGCTGTAGACAGAGTTCTGTGTCAGCCAATGAAGTTTCACAGAATCCATATGCCTGCTATTTCCACTTACTTCATTAGCACTAATGCCAATCCCTACACAGTACACTCAGAGAGTTCATTTCAGGAGCGCCATTTTTGTGGTTAAGTAGAGAAGGATCTTGGAGACGGAGTCTCTACTCTTAATGTGATGTTGCTAAGGTGACTAATTCGTAGAGGAAAATAGAGGCAACAGATTCCTATGAAATGTTCGTAATCACCTACCAGCATAAATTATCTAGAACCCGGAAGATCACATTCTGAATGTTTGCTCCTCTGATAACCTCAGGTTTCACTCATAAAAATGTTCACACAAACATTACACAATTTTTCTAAGAAATAAATACTTATGATACATATACTTTTGCAGCAATGAACCATTTGCACATTGCTGTCTTGCTGTGTGTGGCACCATGTTGTAATGTGGTTTGTGGGTACCAGTCTCTTGGAGCCTCATGCTGGAAACGCCTTCACCTTCCATAACGGGAATTTCTTTTCCAGCCACATACGGTAAGTACAAACTGAGGCGGCTTCCTGTTGAGGTTTACACGTTTATGTGGGTCATCTAACAATGAAGCCTCTCTGTCTGTCTACCTGAACTGAAAATGCTTTTATAAGTCATGGAATTTCGTAGCCTACAACATATGCATTCTGACATGACTACAGTGCGCATGTTAATAGCGTTCAGCATAAGGAGATCTGCTGCGAGGTCTAATTACATTGCACTGCTCTGACACTCACACAGTATGGTCTTGTGCCCATGACAGCTGCCCACTGCTACCTTATCCTTGCGTGCTCTCTGAGGCTGGAACTGTTTTCCATTCTTAACACTCTGACTTCCTTCACACTTTACAGAAGAAAATCATATACCTGACGTTTTAACCAGAACATGCCTATGGGGACTTGTTGAAGAGAAATTGTAAGCTTGGGCTTTGGGCCTTGTTTCAGTAACAAACTTCTACGGTTGGCAGCCCTGAAGTGATGGCCAACAGGTGGTGAATGTTGAAGTTACTTGAAGATCCGTTAATATGTACATACTGACAGCTTTCATGAGCTGACATCTCTACTGTGATCTTGGTCTGCGTCTTGGGAATTTTTATTTAGTTTGTAATTCAGCTCCTGGAATGGGATTCGCTCTTGTGTTTGTTATTACAATGTGCTCATATCTTTTTATTCTGTGTGTGTTCTGATGTCTGACAGTTATTTGAATGCTGTCAGTATCGTCAGTATGGATATCTGCCTCCGATGTGTCCAACATTGTCACAGTGTGTGGGTGGTTGTTTTGAAAGACATCCATTGCCTCCAGACCCGCAATAACCATAATTTTCAGGGTTCCTGCTTGTGTCTTCTTACCTTCCGTGGTGCTACTGTGTTTCACCTTGCCTGATTGTACCCCCTCCAAGAGCATGGTTGCTGGAGTCAGACTTTGGAGCAGACAAGAAATTCAGAAGGAAAGAGAGAAGACTGGAGACTTTCTGCCTGTCAACTCACATGACACGGAACTGATGCTAGAAGCAGAACTTGTGTTGCAACTTTTCTTCCTGGTTTGTTGTGACCGATCGATCCTGTTTTTGTGTTCCAGCACAGCAGCAAAACGAGCAACAAGAAGAGGGCATGGCGGTCACTGAAGCAGATTGTTGCTCAAGAGAGGGCATTGCAGTGGGGAGAAGATTTTGTGCACTGTAAGAGAACAAATTCATGGAGGAGCATTGTGAGGAGCGTTCACAGTACAGGAGATCTGAGGTTGTCACAGCAGTGCCTATGAACATTACTGTCTTCTGGGGAGTAACGCTATGTCATCTGATAGCTCATTATCAACATTTCGGAGGAACATGCTTCCTCCATCTTCAGGATAGAAGTGTAAGCTGAACATGGAAATTTGGTATGGACACAGAGAAAGGGGGGAGGGGGGAGTGGGACACAGGTACTGATCAAACCAGTAGGTCTGAAGAGAACAGTGTAAAGGGCACTGGCCCTTGAAATAGTCCTCACTCTTGCTGTATCCACTGTTTCTTCCATGCTCAACTTACACTTTACACTGAAGATGGAGGCATTAGGTCACACTGAATTGTTTCCCACCAGTCTGCATGGCGTCACGTCTCAGAAGGCTGTAATCTTTATATGACTGCTTGTTTCTGGATGCACATTTGATGTTCTTCTGGGTCTGTGCCTGCTGCTAACTTCAGATGATGGTTGACATTTACTTGGAACTTTCATTTGGATNCACTTCTTTCATTCATTCTTCACAGATTACAATTTTGCTTCAGTAATACAGTTCTGTATTCATGAAAATTCTTGAAAGGATCATTTCAAAAGTATTTTTATTGAAGGTTTTACAGACTTTAAATGTAAAAAGCCTTTTACATTATTTCGTTTTTGATCTCTATGCCTGAGATAAAATTCTCAGCCTCTTTAAAAGACACAGTTTTCATGATCAGTGTTTTAAAGGTTTCTGCAATTAAAAGAGCGAAGTTAGCTTTGTGTTAATGATGAGAACTGCCTCGAATCAAGTTTCCTGCCCATTTATTTCAATTTCGAGCTGTGTGCCAGAGTGCTGGAGCCCTTTACTTTTGGGACTACATCCATACCTGTGTCTGAGTCTGATATTTTATGCTCAGGGGGTGTAACAATGAAGTTATGAGCAAGCATGACAGTTATTTTTTAACAGTTACATGTGATTTGTTAATACAGGGAATATTATTTGTTTCAGAAAATTCAAACCATCGAATGTAGCTCCAATTTATTTGGAAACTCATCAAGAGGAGACTAATGTCAGATAGCAGAAGGTAACAGCGTTTAGAAGATTCCTGGATCCCACATTGCCATGAAGATGAGCCATCTGTGACCCAGAGATCTTAATTTGAAAATAGGACATTATTTTATGGCTTTACCATCTTGCCTGTGCCAATTTGTTATGAGAAACTATAAAGAACTGTTCTTCTTAAGATGCCAAAACTTTGTGCTGATTTATGCTCTCTGTGATATGTGACAATAAAATGGGAGTGTACATTGTGAATGTGTACCAGAATGAAAATATTATTGTAGATCCATAGAAAGAAGTAGGTATACCAACTGAGTTGGAGTTACCAATTTACAAGTACAGTAAATTCCTACTTGTTTGCTATCCAGGCATCCAGGATTTTCATTCATCTGGCAAAAATTTCTAAGAAAATTATAAAGTCATTAAAAAAATTATGAGTGTATTTTCACTCACTATACACTAGTCCTCCCAGCTTCCACTAGCAGCACTACCCATTATGCAGATGCCATTTCAGCAGAGGCTAGTTGAATTTTTGATCTTGTGAATTCAGAATCTTTCACCTGTCAATCTGCACTATTGTATGGGAATAGTCCATGCAAGAACTAAAGCAAAAATGTGATATTTTGATTATAAATTAGGTTTCTGCAAGAACTTTTCTCATGAAAACAGCAGATTCATGTAACTGGCAGACCCCATTCTCTATACTTGCCAAGTAATTGTGGTTTACTCTAGTAATTAATAGGATAAATTCATCTTCAGTATAAATGAAAACATATTGTCATGTGTTGGGTATGTGACGCGACAGATAACTTCACACCATTCTGGATCTAGTGAATTTATTGCACACTTGCTCTTACATTTACACAATTTACTGTTTCACAACTACTACCATTGGCAGTATCACAATTACTTCTGTTGTAGTCACTGCCATTCACTCGATACGATCAGTCAGTCGCAGTATGACTTTGACTTTGACTTTGACTTTGATTCAGGAGGATTGAGTATTGAGTTACTAGAGAGAGAGAGTTACTAGTATCCAGTATGAGTTGAAGTCCAGCAGCTACAAGTTGAGTCGTATCGACTGTTCGCTGCTCCTTATTTAGGCTTGGCACGGACAACATAGAGAACACATTGCTGCTTGGCAACAGATATCAGGTATTGTTGTCAGGTGTTTCTACCTCGCATTACCTAGCAATAGTCGCTGCACTAACTCGCCTGTTGTGTGATGTCACAACCTAGCGGGGAGGGGTGTTTACCCAGCTTTGCGCAATGATGGGAGGAGTGGGGGTATGTGACATCACTCGTGGAAACGCAGAGTTCACGTGACCCCTACTTCCTGTTGCGCCATCCATATTACAATATAAATCAAATTTTGTAATTTAATATTTAGTACCAAGTTTACACCTGTGGGACCATTCATAAGTTTCTTAGCAAATGTTAACAAACCACTGATCACTCATATGGCTGTGTGGAAACAGCTCTATTTAAATCAGTAGTGTACTGAGACATATCAAAAAAGTGGTATGTCACAAACAATCGTGGAAAAAATTCTTAGTGAACCATTGATGAATTGTGTGGCTCCATTTACATCAGTGGTTCATTAAGATGTGGCAGAAAAGTGGCACAACACAAATTAACATGGAAAAAGAGATTTAGCCTTTTGTACTGGGTTGAGGTAAGCTATTTGTAATTTCCTGGCTGCATTACTCTAGTTGAAAGAGGCCTCATAAGAATTTGTAAGATTTGTAATTCTTTGTTAAATTGGTAAATTCTCTGAAGTGCTTATTACATCAGAAAGTGGCATATCTTCCTCTTTGTTCTGGAATACATGAGTGAACAAATTTGTTCACACTCATGATGATGATAATAATAATAATAATAATAATAATTCAATTCTTGTTTATTTACATGCAAACTTAACAGCACAGAGGCCAGTTAACAGGTTACCACA